AGAGAAGAGAAGAGAAGAGAAGAGAAGAGAAGAGAAGAGAAGAGAAGAGAAGAGAAGAGAAGAGGAGTTGAAAGGGACCTTGGAGGTCTTCTAGTCCAACCCCCTGCTCAGGCAGGAAACCTTTAGAGTTTTGGGTGAACCTATTCTCAGTTTCACTGTAGAGATCATGCCAGGTGCCATAAGGATGTCACTTATGACATGACATTCTCATATAAATGACATGTCAATTATGTAATTCATATTATTTGTGCAATAATGTCATAATGCACCTAACCTCACTTTCTCATCCCAACTGATGGATGACAGTGACAATAGCACAAGAGTTAAGGTTATGCTACAATAGAATAGAACTTTATTGTCACTTTGAATGTATACTAATCGGCATACATTAAAATGAAATTTCGTTGCATAGAGCTCTCAATGGGTCATCACCTCCAACATATACTACATAATCATAACAGAACAAACAAACAAACAAATACAAATACATATACATATACAACACAGTACATATACAACACAGAGAAACAACACAGTCTAGCTCAGATCTATACCTGTACATGGCAAGAGAAATGAATCCTGCAAGTTTACCAGACGGATGGCATAGGTGGAACAAAGCTGTCCCAGAATCTGGTAGTCCTGCTAGAAATACTTCTATAAAGAAACTGATTAGATATGCCACACATATCTATTTGGCGTGGTCCAATTAAAATATGATTTTTGCTTTTCTTCATCTGAGGGCTTCTTCAATTCAGGCCCAGCTTTGTGTGTGTGTGGGGGGGTTCATTTCCCCTGTTTTGGATACAGTCTATTTTACAAGTAAAACTTTTTTCTAGAAAATATCCTGCTTGAGAGCTTGTATTATTTTGCATTTTTTTTACAGAGCAAAGATGGAGAAATCAAAAAGGCCGGATCTGATGGTGAGTAACAATCAATGTTTTTCTCCCCCTCTGTTTACTACTGAGAGTTCAAGCTTTTATTGGAAGCTTAAACAGCGAAGGGGCCCTTGATGTTCCTTTCTGAGTTGAAACAGCAACCACAGTGACACATGATCCCCTGGTGAACTTTCTAGCAAGAAAAGCCTGCTTTTCAAAACTTCTTTTAATTTTTTAAGCTGCAATGGACAGATCACCATTTTTTTTCCAGTGCCACTGTAACTTTGAACAGTCATTAAACAAAACAGTTGTACATCACGAACTATCAGTATCGCATACCTGACTCTACCTGACTCTGTAGTTTCTTCCCCAAACCCCAAAAATTTTAACCTTAGACTGTCTACTATTGACCTCACCCCTTTCCTAAGAGGTCTGTAGGGGGGCGTGCATAAGTGCACCAACCTGCCTACCATCCCTGTCCTATTGTTTCTTTTATTTTTCTTATATGTATCCATGTATTCATAACTATGTTTTTACTTATACCTATTATCTTGTAAGCAATTGACAAATAAAAATAAAATAAAATAAACCCGTGAAAGCAACGTGAAGTCCCAGGCCAGATTTTAGTATTAGGCATGTAGCATGAATCCAGCTCTTAAGGAGTGCTGGGTTGTGGGTTGCGGGTAAGACAATATAATGAGCTTGTAGGAACCTAACCAAGGGTTCTTTCAAGGGATCTATATACCGCTCCACCCTGTGAATGAGAACCATATGAGGGTATTGATTGTTAATCTCATTCATTCCCAGCATTTTTCCCATTGTTGTAAAAATCAAGTAAAGGAGCTTCTTTAAAAATCCACCCTTAGTACTGATGCCGTTACTTACTCAGGGTAATGAAATGTGTGCAAGAAAACAAGCTCAGAGAGCACCAGGGACCCCTCAAATTCACTGCTGTTTAGACCCAAGCTGGCTTAACGTTTAATAAAATAGCCCTGCCACATCCAGCCATACCTTCACATATAAACTAACCAAGGTTTAGCCATGCTAGTCTTCTGTCCTCGGAATCCTCATCTGCTCTCTCAAATGGCTTAAGTTGGCTAACTTCAAAATGAGGATCTGATGGTGTAGACAACTAACGGTTTGATCAGCTTGCACAGATAGATCGCCAAAGACTTTCTTCTCGCCTGCTTGATTCATCCCACTCCTTGACGCATGACTGCTTGATTTTTCTTTTCTTTTAGGGGATATTGTAGATTGTTCGTCAGAGTCTCCTCCATGCTCTCTGAAATCACGAACCCACTCCATATCCACAGGTAAGCGTGGGAGATGCAGACCATCTCAGTTCCCTGGTACCTAATTTTTTTTCATTCTCTCTTCTTTGCGGAGCCTTTGGATTCGGTTGCTTGCTAATAAATCCTTCCCTGAAACCTCACAGTCCCAAGGTAGATGTGAGCCATTTAGGCAGACTGGTCAATGTAAATGCCAATTTTAATGAAGCAATTTAATTAAATTTGTTCCCATCCATCTTACTGCACTCCTAAAAACAATTAGCATTTGACATTTGAGCTTAGACATATGTGCAAAACCCAGAAATCAAGGACTGGCTAGTGGATGGGGGAGAGAATGATAATATTAAGTGTTGTGCTTGGGGCTTGATGGATGTTGTGGTGAGATAAATAACCATATGTGTAGCAACTATTCCCAACTGGTTCCTTTGCCTATTTTGGATGGAGTTTCAGAGATAAGTAAAAGCTAAAACGTGACTACGGCACCAATGGATGGAGAACCATCCTAGTATCTTGGTTCGTCTTGGTCATCACAATCAAAAATGGTGTTGAGACTCTGGAAAAAGTGCAGAGAAGAGCAACAAAGATGATTAGGAGACTGGAGGCTAAAACATATGAAAAACAATTGCAGGAGATGGGTATTTCTAGTTTGATGAAAAAATGAACCGGGGAAAGATGACATCAGTATTCCAATATCTGAGAGGCTGCCACAGTGGTGGGCTTCAAAAAATTTTTTACTACTGGTTCTGTGGGCATGCCGTGGTGGGCCTGGTATGGCTTGGTGGGTATGGCTTGGTGGCAAGGGAAGGATACTACAAAATCCAATTCCCTCTCTACCCCACCCCACTAACCTGCTTTCCAGCTCCATTCTCCTGTTCAGGGCAACCAAAGAAAACCCAGTCAATCAGCTGGGACTCGGGAGGCAGAGAATAGATGGGGCAGGGCCAGTCAGAGGTGGCATTTGCCGGTTCTGCAAACTACTCAAAATTTCCGCTACTGGTTCTCCGGAACTGGTCAGAACCTGCTGAAGACCACTTCTGGGCTGCCACAAAGAAGGGGTCAACCTATTCTCCAAAGCACAACAAGAAGCAATGGAGAAGCAACCTAGAACAAAGGAGAAATTTCTTAACCAGTGGAATAACTTGCCTCCAGAAGTTGTGAATGCTCTATCGCTGGAGGTTTTCAAGAAGAGATTGGACAGCCACTTGTCTGAAATGCTATAGGGTCTCCTGTCTGAGCAGTGGGTTGGACTAGAAGACCTCCAAGGTCCCTTCCAACCGTTTCATCTGGTAGGGCAACTCCAGCAGAGGCAAGTGGTGAAGCGGGAACGTTCATTTGGGTTTTTATCAGCTTGAGAACGTAGGCCGTTCTATTGCAGATCCTTCCGTACGCACAGGATCTGTGGATCCCGTTGGCCGAGCAGGCACGGAGCCAAGTGGTGGATCCTTTGAGGGCCGACTTTCGTGGAAGGTTCTTGGGAAGCAGCTGAACGCCGAGTTTAAGGGCAAGTGTTCGGAACTCAGCCCTTCGCCAAGAAGAGGTTTTGCCGGTCAGGAGCCAGCCGGGCTCCGGGAGCAAAAAGGGAGAGAGGGCTGGAGCAGCAGTTTGCCCAGGACTGGGAGAAGCACGGCTGCTCCTCTTCTGCTCAGGAGGACCAGCAATGCGGGCGAAGGACGGGCGTCTGTCGAACTGCAGAATTCCTTCGCCCACTTGAACACGGTTGCTGGAGGTAGGTGAAATGGAGGCTGTGTTGTGGTTCGCCGGCAGCCGGTGCAGACGGCAGTGGAATTGGACAGTGGGGAAGAAGCGGGACCAGTCAGGGACTCTGGAGAGGACTTGGATGAGGGTCCTGCGCCCAATGCAGAGATGGAGTCAGGACCATCTGGGAGTGGGGGTGCTGCCTCTGGAACCTCCGGAGTCTGGCAGCAGCTAGGCAGAGGACCCAGGGGAGCCTGTTCCCAATGTGCATGTGCCCAGAGCTGCTAGAAGGCGAGAGCAGCTGAAACAAAAGGGACGACTTGGGGGCAAGGCTGGGAGGTGATTGCCCTTCCCATACAGGATAAAAATCAGGCCAAGATGATGAAACCTTTGCAGGAAGCAAAGTCATTCATTCGGTTCAGATTCATTCTTGAATCTCTTTGTACTTCGGTTGGTTTTTGTTTTAGTTATTTGACACTTCTATTATTGGCAGCACTTCACAGGAAAGAAAGGTGGGTGCTTATCTCGAAGGACTGTTTGAGATGCATTACCAGCGGGGAATGAAAATAATTCCCAGCGTTGCAATAAAACAAGGCTTGTTTTTAAAATAAGCATGTGCATAATTAGTTTCAGAAGCCTTGGTCAGAACAGGCTGCTGATTTTCAACTTACCACTGCTTGTTTAGCGACCGAACTTAGGACACTCCCCCTCTTAAAAGGTAAGGGTAGTCCTCAACTTACGACCACAATAGAGGGCAAAATTTCTTTTGCTAAGGGTGAGATGTTTCTTAAGTGAGTTTCCCATTTTGCGACCTTCGTGGCCCCTGTTGCTGAGTGAATTACTGCAGTCGATAAGTTTTAGTAACAAGGTTGTTGATCGAATCTGGCTTGTCAAAAGGTCGCAAAAGGGGATCATGAGACCCCCAGGAACTCTGCGACCGTCATAAATATGAATTGGTTGCCAAGCATCCGAATTTTGATCACATGATCATGCGGCTGCTACAAAGGTCGCTAAGTGGGAAAAATGGTCATAAGTCACTTTTTGCAGTGCCATTGTAAGTTTGAATAGTCACTAAATGAACTGTTGTAAGTTGAGGGCTGCCTGTATTTACAACCTGGCTTTGAAGTTTCAGCATCTACTTCCCCCAGTAGATGAATGCAGTTCTTATGACCGTGAATGAACCCGTGGTCATAAGGGCTGCATTTTGGATGCTTGGCAACCAGCATGCCTTTGTGGCTATTTGCAGCAGCATGCGGCTGTGCGACCACAATATATATATATATATATATACACACAGATAGACAGATAGACAGAGAGAGAGAGAGAGAGGGAGGCAGGGAGGGAGGCAGAGAGAGAGGGAGAGGGAGGAAGATAGATGATAGATAGATAGAGAGATAGAGAGATAGAGAGATAGATAGAGATAGATAGATAGATAGATAGAGATAGAGAGATAGATATAGATAGATATATATAGATAGATTAGATAGATAGATAGATAGATAGATAGA